CAGCATGGGGCTGATCGGGAGCAGTGCTGAGGGCCCCCGGCAGAGCCTGGACCATCCTCCCCTCTTCTGACTTCCCAGGAGCTCAGATTCTGCTGGCTGAGCCCTCCACTCACAGCCTCTTCAGGGAGCTTATAAATAATGACTTAGAAGAGAAATGATTTAAGATTACAAAACTTTTTCAAGATCAAGTCAAGGTGCCAGCATATTCAAAAGCTGTCAGATATGTCAGGGCAGGTACTTTGTGAGGGATGTGCTTTGTATCTTCAATGTGACAAACATACTGCAGTAAATTCACAAACGTGCACTTGCTGCTGCCTTTGCCAAAGCCCTGCCATCAAGCCATCACCTTTAGATCAGTCACACTGAGAGTGAAGAGACACAAAAAGGATCTTTTGCTAGAAATGCTTTTGCTAGTTCACTGGACTCTGCAATGGCAGTGATGTGCAGCAGGGCCCACAGATCTGGGGTAGCAGGTGTATTTTATAGCACAGTTGGGTTTGAAACTTTTCATGTTAGCATCTCCCTCTTTTAGAAGTATTTCTGGGACCTCATTTTTATTATGGATCATTTTCTGCCATAGGCTGAATAGTCTATTCTTCAAAGAATCCCATAGATGAGAAACTGAGGCAGAGAGAGACTAATTGGATTTTCTATAGATATATAAGAAGTCAGCAGTAGTGCAAGGACATGAATAGTGCAAGGAGTGTCCTAACCACTGAACTGTCGTCGTCTCCTTGTATAATGCAGAATACATGGAATATCCATCTTTTAATGGATAGCTTTTTGGAATACGTATTTTTTCAAAAGGCTGATGTTAGATTAATGATGAATATTACAAAATGAAGTAGGAAAGACATTAATTTTGATGTGGTAGGAAAGCACTTTCCTAATGAGGTAGTAATTAAATAAGAAATATAGTTATTTAAAAAAAAAGGTAAATCTAGTGCTCTCTAGACCTCCTATCTCAGCAGTTCAAGCAGCAGTTCTGGGTAACGAAAAGGAATGTTTCTGACAAGCATGAAGTACCACCAGAAAAATATAAAAGGAAAAATGTGTCATAAGAATCATAAAAATATTAAATAATGTCAAAGAAATGAAATCAATTTCCGGAAAAGAATAATAAAGGCTGAGAAAAGGTACCCAGAAAACTAGATGACTTTTTTATCTTCTTAATTGGGGTAATTATACTAAAACTGACAGCAAGTATTTCCCCAATAGCAAAAAACACCCACAAACCCCAGCCAGTCAAAATTCCGCTCTGAGCATAAGATCTGTGAAGGTTAAAGGCTTGAGTCAGCCACTAGGAGGGTGCTCCTCTTCTCCCAAGGTCAGTCCTTACATATGGAGAAGTAATTTTGATTTTGGTCTCTTCACAGTTCAAAGTCAATGCTTACCTTGATTTCAACTGTGCTATATTTGGCAAAGTATTAATGTAATTGTATTTGGTCCCAGTCATGTTCCGTTTGAATGTTAAACTCCTCTTAATACCAAGCCATTTTGTGCTCCCTCTTGTAGTCTAGGGAATGTATAAAATAGTGAGCAGTGTGGACCCTCTGGACCAATCTCTCCAGAGAAACCAGTGGTGCCAATGCCCACACTACACACATTTTGGGGGTTTTTGTTCACACCAGCTTCTGTCTAGAAACCTACTGTCATGGACTGAAGTTTTCACACAAAGACCTCCTGGAGCACATCTTTGGGTGTAGTTTCATCCAAAAAGGATGCAGTTCATGCTGTCCCAGGCTGCATCATAGCCCGAGCCAAATACAGCACATAGGCACATGGAGATGACCTCTAACAAATCACGCTGTGCATCAGCCCATGTATAAACTCTCAACTACTGATGCCTCTTTGCTGATCCTTCATGTTCATCATGTTTCAGCCACCAACTTCTCTGTGCATATTTCACTGCATCACACTGAGGACCTTCTCCCTCAGTTAAGTGGGGAATTAAGTGTCCCTTAGTGGGACAGAAATGATCTGACAGTTCAATTAATGTTGGCAGTGTTTAGATTTGAAACCACCCAGTATTTCCTTGCTAATAAACACAACGTGCAAAGAGGAAAAAAGTGATTGTACAACCTCAGAACAGAGATCATGAAGCCCAAGGACCCCCACTTTTCCCATTAGCCAGTAATGGGTGCCTGAGAAAGACTTTAATAACAAGGCAAGGATGTGGTGGTACTTCCCCAGAATAGTTTTTTAGCTTCCAAAAAATTCACAACTCAAGGATTTCTTAAGCCAGAGGCTTTGTCTTTGTATCTAATAGCCTTTGATATGTTTTCTTTGTGAATTATTTAGGTACTTTTTAGATTTATGTTAATTTTAGGATCTAGTGTTCTGCAGGAAAGAGTTTGACACTAACTTCATGCTGCAGTTTGTGTTTCTTAAGAAAAGACAGGGGTTCAGATGCTGTCTGAACCCCCTGCTACCTCTGCTCACAGTAATCCTAGAAGTAGGATTGCCCAGTGCATGTGGTGCACGGTCACCATACCAAAGTCAAGAGTGCCAGCAGTTGCAGTGCGTGTGCAAAGCCACCCCAGCTGGGGCTCTGCACCACTCCTTTGAGTTTGTGTTGATTTGAACGGGAAACTCTGCCCAAACCATGGAATGCAGAGAGATATATTGTACTTTCTCTGGCTTTTTTCAAGCCAGAAGGGCTTGGGTATGACCATATTTCTACGGGAACTGGAGAGTTGAATCAAGAATGTTCAACTCTTGTGGGAACCAGCCAGAAAGAACTTTACTCTCCCCTCAAATCCTTGCATTCCAGGCCTGGGGTTTTTATCAGACTGTATTTGTAATCCCAGTTGATTTCTCAAATAAACGGTGAAATGCAAACAGTTGGCCAGAGGGAAAACCTCCATTTACTGAAGAGGAAAAGAACACAATATCCAAATGACTCATGGCTCTGTGGGTGAAGTAATGGCTGCATATCATATCTTGGGATGTGGGTTTGTGGTCTGATGCTGCATGGAGTGGATGTGCTTGGGTTGTGATGTTATTGTAAATGGCTTTGGTAGGAATTCTCCTGTGACTTCCTAGACACAAGTTGCTTGTTAAGATATGATTGACTGCACAGTGGCAATTAATAAGATAGGGAGGCAGCCAGGTGCAGCCAAGCCCTCCTCTGGACACTAGCTGGGGGAAATATGACAAAACCCTTCTGCTACTAGAAGAGGTAGGTCCTGCAGGAGTTGCAAGTGGCTGTAGCTGAAGGAACTGTGTTCCAGGGAGATTTCAAGGGTTGGAAGGAAACCTGAAGAGGGGCGGCAGAAACCAGTATCCCTGGGAGGCACCTGGTGCCTCTCAAACTTTGCTCTCCTGGGGCAGGTTATCCCAAGACCCGTCGAATGAGCATGCTCTGATGTTTGATGCAGTACCCCTCTGCCTGGTGCCCCTTACTCCCACTGACTGTTGTCTGCTGTGGGTTCCCTACGGGTACTGACTCCCTTGTTCTTTTTTTCCCTGAATTCCTTGGTTACAATAAGATAAAATACATAAATACTAATGCAAGTGTAAGTGCAAAGGCCAGTGACACCTCTGCAGAGCCCCACTTCTACCTTACCCCTTGCACCTGCTGTGATTCCACCACTTCCTAAGAAGTTGCCAGCAGTTACTCGCTGTCCTATATATGAACAGCTTGCAAATATGACAAAATACAGGTTGTTTTGCCTGGATTCTTTGTTTTTCCTCTCAGTCTCTCCATTGCAAGACTTCCTCACCTCTCCCAGTCCTTTCCCTCCTTTCAGCACTCTGGTTGCTGCTCCATTACTGCGCAGCACTGGAGCTCAGAGGAGCTGCAGGTCAGGGCTCCCCTCTCATGATACGACCTGGAGGGCACATGTGCCTGCAGAGGTGGTGGCCTGTTCTCAGGGAGCCATCACCACTCTCAGTATATACACTGCACAGGATCTAGTGGTTTTGCTCTGTGAGTTAGTGGAGGGAGGAATGAGGGTCCACTAAAGGATCAAACCAAATCCCTCCTTATAGGCAGGAGCTCTGGAGAGCATTTTTTCCCTACATCCTACCAGTGCTTTCTACAGCAGAAACATGATGAGATATGGTTTACAGCTTGGGAGACAACAGCAGGACATTGCCTGAACCCAGATGTTGGCAGATCAGTAGGCGTTGGGAAACCAGCCAACCTTTCTCAGTTTTCTGGGACACTCTGGTTTGCCCATGTGAGTAAAATTTGCAGTAGATAAACACAGATACATAGAATTTATCCAAACATCAGATGTTTACCCATGGCTGCAAGACCAAGGAAGCTTCTTTGTTTGTGGTTCCAGCTGTGCTGGGAGTCAGGGCTTATCCCACATTTGAGGAATCTTCTTTTTTTAAGCAGTTCAGAGGCTAGGGCTGCTGCTTGGGAAATGGCTGTTTTCTCCCTGCAGGCAGATCGATACATTTCAGCTCACTGCACTGCAAGTAACTTTTCATCGTACATTAAGAATGAGGAAAATAAAAGCCAAGATGGATGTTATTTTGGTTTTGCTTTTATTTTGAATTATTTATTAGGAAGTCACTGCTGCCTTCTCGTCAGGAGACAAAATGCCTTTGTCTTTGGTGATTTCCTATTAAAAAGAAACAAGGATCTTTCCAGTTTTATTTCTCTCACTCGTTTCTTGGTACTGAAGTGTAAATCTGGGGTCTCCACAATGTGACAAGATGGTCTCCTACAGTCCCAGTGCAGGCAAAGTCCCCACTGATGCCAGTGGAGTCCCACCTTGTCAGTACACTTCTAACCAGTTTTACAATGATGTTGCAGATGAGTTATGTGTGTTAGGAATGATTGCTGTCACTTAAGCAGAGGGTGTTATGGAGTACCCTACAGGCTAGCTGAACTATCATTTTAATTAAGCATTTACTAAATAGCTAGTAAAAATATGAACCCCATGTGTTATGGGGCAAAAATTACAGCAACTGGCTCTACTATTCATATGAGTTTGGAAACTCAAACTAACAACCCATTTTGATGTTTTTGTTCCTAAATCTAGGTTATCCTGAAGGGGACGATAAAGAAACTGGCCACCAAGATGGTAATCACTAGTGGAAATGAAGAAGATAAAGGCAGTCAAGAAAAGGAAAGCAAAGAAGAAACCATCTTGGCAATGCTTGGAATTATTGGGACAATTCTGAACCTCATTGTGATCATTTTTGTGTATATTTACACAACGTTGTAAACTAGAAGGCATGCAAATAGACCAGATAAAATGGCCATTAAGAGTGACAACAAACATTGCTGACTATTGACAAGTTCTTTAATCAGAATTGACTCTGTATTATATTAACACATCATAAAAGCACTGCCTGCAGGCAGCGAAGACTGAAGCACAATTAATTTAACAAGACTTTTTCACACAGTAATAAGCTTAACTCTTCTGTCCTGCCCTCTCCCTTTTGGTTTGGTTTTCAGTTTGGGGGAGAATGACTGCAGTTATGTAAGTTGTAGCTTTGAAGAAATCCACCAGGGATATGTTGTTTTAACACAATTAAAAAAAAAAAAGAAAGAAAGAAAAAAAAGAAAAGAAAGAAACTGTACACTATATATAATTAGAAATGTATGCTGTATACCCGCAAAGATTGAACTCAAAGATAGCTTCATAGCACAGATCACGTGTCTGTTAGGTCAAATGATGTTTTTCTCTTGGTTTTTGCTTTTACTTACATTGAATCTGACAAGCCTTTTATTTAGAATGAACATATGGTGCAATCATGAAAAAAACAATTCCATTGAGCAAGGTCTGCCTAAACCTGATAAAATGTTGGGAGAAATACATTACATGGTTATTTTTCCTTTCTTGTTTGCTTAACATCTGTGTCTGTTCATACCAATGTTTATATATATATATTTTTAATAAATGTGCTATATTTTTAGCATGAACCAAACATTTGGAGACACTTGTATTCATGCAGCTAAATTTTGTTTGATGAAGTGCCCGTTTTGACAATGGATGTTATTTTTCTCAGCAATTATACAGCAGTCTTGTTTGCAGCCCTCTCACTGTGGTCTGAAGCAAGCTCACATCATGCTCATATGCATGACTTGAAGTTGGAATGTCAGCTGAAAAGCATTGCTGCTTAATACGGGAAATAGCACAACATTGTAAGGTGACCTTTGGAGACTGGTTGCAGAAAGAAGGCTCTACTCAAAAAAAGAAAAAGCAAATGAAAGGAATATTGAGGAGTCTCACAAAATATTACAAAATTCATAGAATTTATGGTTTTCAAAATCTGGTCACGTTCTCTAAGTACTTATGCTGAGAGAAGCCAGTAGAGGTTTCTACAGCTGAAAAGAGAAATTTAGAGAGCCTATAGTAAGGGGTTGAAGGGAAATCCAGACTGTAAATACAGAGTTGTATTTTAAATGTGAGGATCATTAACTCTTTGCTTTTCTGCCATGTGCTTTAACTGAGGTTGGTGCAGTGAAATTCTCTGACTTGTGTTTTTGACAGGAATGTACAATGATGATGCTCAACATTTTTCTTCAGAGTTCAGTGCTTATAAATATACAAAGCATTAAAATTATGAGACCTCAATTCTGCCTCAAGCTGCCTAAGTACATTGCCCATTAACTCTGACATATCTTCTTAAAAAAATAGGTCAATTAATTGTTTACTGACTTGTAGTTTGGATTGCATCCTCAGATGCACAAGGAGGATTAGAGTTGAAGTCAGCTGGAGCTGTAAAATGTTTGATCCTAGAGTCTCATCGATTTTAGTGATCAGTCATGTCCCTCTGGAATCAGTAATAAGTTCTCCACCAGTTTCAAGGGGCTAGGAATGGTCTCAAAAATACAGAATTTCATTGCAGGATATAAAAGCAAGCTTGGAAAACCCTGAGGGGCACCTCTTATAAACAGAGGTGTTCAATCTGTTGTGGTATCATACATTCAATAACACAGCCATTAGGAGAAGGGAAAATGTCAGTAAATAAGTGGAAATGAAATCCAGTATGAAGACTGAAGGGAAAAAAGAGCAAAAATAATCTCATATAATGAAAGCATGACATGATGAGAGAGATGAAAAAATGAGCAGAGATTGAAAACAGGGAATGGCACAGAAAGACAGTGCCATGCATGCCAGCGTGGCTGAGGAAACATTTTTGTTTCTACAGTGCTGGTAGAGCTGCAGGTCTCGGAGAGGACAAGAAACAATAGTGGCACCATTTAGTGTAGCTGAGTGAGGGTGATCTTGGTTTTGAACTTATAGTTATTTATTGATAATTCTAAGGAAATAGCTCACTCTGATCATCCTGATAGCTAAAATATATTTTCCTCCACTTGGCATTTTTTCTTCTGTTTAAACCACTGCTGTGCACAGCCTGTGGCAATGGTGTTGGCGCTCATGTCCCAGAGCACACCTGCACATGCTCCAGGCACCTGTCTATCTCCAGCCTGCCTCCTGCCTGGCAGGATCCTCTCTGCAGTTATTCCTCTTGAACCTCTCTTCCTCCTCCAGCAAACACCACAGCAATCTGCCTGAGGCTTGTACTCATCTTCTAGAGGGGAAGCCTGGACAGGGCAGTGTCTGAGTCAAGAGATGAGCTCTCATGCCAGGTATTTCTTTGCCTCCCTCTGCATCAAATGATGACCTGTCATCCTCTTGTGGGCTTGAAGATGCTTAATGATTCAAATTTCATTAAGGGCTTCTCTTAATATTACAAATTAAAGCTCTGCATTGTAAAACAATACAGAACACCTCACCCACCAAAGTAAAGTAGGAACTTTTGCTGCTCATCACAGTTGCACTCATTCAGACATGGGCTAGAACCTTCACCAAGGCTCGCACTGCAAAGAGCCCAGATAAACTGAACTGGAGGATAAAAAGCTTAAGGACTTCATGTTTACTCTGTTTTATTTTGCATATTAGGCTTGATGCAGGCAGTGTGTTCAGCTGTCTGCCACACTTCACCAGCAGCAGTCATGTGCTGTGTGCTTTCGACATGACTTTTTATTCCTCTGAAAGAGGAAGAAAGGTTTATACCATTCTACAAAAGTTTAACACTTAATATTTTAATTTTACAGGTTTCTGTTCACAGATAGTTCTAGAAATATCTTGGGGCAAGTTCTTAAGTAGATTCATTAAGTATTCATTTAAATAAAAATGAAGAGTTTCCTTCGAGGGCAATTCCTTTACCTTTTATTTGGTATTCATGAACACTGATATGGGAAAAGTATGTTTTCAAGAATGACTGTGGAAGAGGAATATTTTATACAAAGATCTGAAGGTGTGCCTACCTAGGCAGCCGTGGGCAGGCCTGTTCTTGGCTGAGTGCCAGCTGAAGTCAAATTACCCTCATGCTTTTCTTATGTGAGCAGTTTTCAGCATGCACCTGTACGAAATATTCAACAAGGTAACATATATATCATGGATACGTTATAGTCAGTAACTGCTGTATAAACAGATGAATAAAACTTCTCATTACAGGTGCTGAATGGTAAATCTGCTTTGGCAAGGAAAAATCCGGTAGTCTCATTTTTGGCTTGACTTGTAGGTAATGCAAATAGTTTCCAAAAAAAATTTTTTTAAATAAAATATTAGTCCATTAGTGACAGGAAATTCCATGTTTGCATTTGAGTAGAAGGAAATTAATATCCAATATCTTAATAAGATATTAAAGCATCACCTTTTGCTTCAGTCAACTAAGAATATGATTGTATTTTTAAATTATCCTATTTAGTTTTTGATGGTTTGTATTATGGGAATGAAAAATATTTTCCCGAGGTCACATGAAGGTGACATTCTCCTTGCTAGTGTCTGGTGTGTTGGCTGGTGGGTACCGAAGACTTTTAAGAAGGAAGAAAATAAAAATATTTAAATCATGTTATACATGCAATGAAGTGAGGAGAAAGCAGACATACAGGCTTCTGCCATCTTCTCTGATTCCTACAACTGCCACTGAAAACAACATCTCAGGAACCACATCTTCATGCAGGAATGTACCATCCTGTGTGATGGCTGTCAGGGCAGTCCTTTCAGTCATTTACCTTCTGCTCCTTCCACCTACACCTCTGTAGTAGTGCACAGCTCATTGTGCCTTAGGAGAGTTTTAACATGTACTCAGCCTGGCAGCCTCTGGAAGCAGCTGTTTGGGTTTATTGTGGTGTAAAGGTCTACTATGGGGCTGAGTTTTATTATTTTAAGGACAGCCAGTAATCACCATCTTGTTACTGTCTGATAATCTAGGAGATACATTGCTTGTTGAATTCCCAGACCTATCCCTCCCCTGTCCCACAGGTAAAATTTTGATTCAATAGGCATCCAAATACAAAAGAAAGCTTCAGTTACATGATGACGAAACTTTAGTATGAAGCTTTTTTTAAGTCCATGTTTCCTGTATTTCCATATATTATACTAATCTGTATCCTGGAGCTCACTCCAAATGCCCCAAGGTCTCATCTGTGTCAGAAGGTCTCATTGCTTCTGAGTCAGAGTTAACATTTCAGTGTGAATTATGGCATACACAGAGCCCAGAGTGGGCAACAGGGATAAAAATTAACTGAATTAAAACTCCAGGGAGGTAACACTGAAGAAATTACTAATTAGTTGGAGGCTTGGCTGGAGTACTTTGTTTCTGCATAGCCAAGATTTTGTTCCTTGGAAATTTTCTGGAATATGTCTCATTCAAAGAAAGAACCTCATTGAAAATGTTTTAGCAGCAATTTCCAGCAGCAATCTTCCAAGAAAAACACTGACCAGGCCTTTGAGTGTCTGGCTTCCTTCCCAAGAGTAGTGTTTGGCAACTCTGCAGCGCTGTACATATATGTAAGCACCTCTTGTTTACAGAGAGGTTTTGTCTTCTTTCGAACAGAATGCACAGGTTTACAAAGATTTACAAATTTATGGAATAGTACTTTACACAGTCAACAACAACAAAAGGTGCTGTTCACTTTTATTTCCAGCAGATATGCCAGATATGCTGCAGACACCCTGCAGAACCTGTACTGATTCCATGCCTGGCTGTGTGTTTTGGAGGCTCCTCCCAAAGGGTCTTATAGACTCAGCAAAGGTTTTCTTCCCCACCACTGATCCAAGAGAAACAAAACCTGTTCAGCATGGAAATCCCACATGCATCCATATGCCTTTATCTACATATGAACCATCTGGTATCCAATAAGACTTTCCTTGCCTTAAGCATTAGGTTTGCTTACTTGCATTTCACCTGGGGACTCAGATGCTGAAGGCAATTTGTAGGGCTGAAAGCCCTTTTTCAAGTGAAACAACTTTACCTAATGTAGTCATTACCTGGCGAGGTGCCTGTTCCTCCTGAAACACGCCTGTGCAGTGCCCTGGGCACGGCACACAGCACACCACCCTTCGTGTGTGGTCTCACACTGACAGAGCATCATGACAGTGAGGGAGTCGCTCTGGGCTGCAGCTGGCCCGTACAGCAGGGTTTTGTACAAAAACCTAGATCCCAAGTCAAGCTCTACAGAGTGAAAGGAAAAGGACATCCTGCCTTGTTCATAGGAGGTGCTTAGCTATGCTCACCAGGATCCTTTCTTCTGCAACCAGTCCAAATTCAGCTGAAGGTGATCCTTGCACCACTCTGACTCTCTTGTGGCAGTTGCAGAGCTTCCTTCCACCTGAGTGAAGTAAACAGCTTTGGGCTTCCCTAGTCTCCTAGAATAGGGGACAAAGTCCTTCTTACGCAGAAGAAATAGCAGCAGGAGCATCCGTTTCCTGATGACAATGACAACATCACCTGCCTGGAGCACTGATGGGAACCCTTTTTCTTCCCATCATCCTTCATAGTCTGGGAAATGCAAGTTAGTTACCCGGACTCCAGCTTGTCCACAGGCTCAGTCAGTGTTCAGGAAGACTTGTTTTGTGATGCTGAGACTTTGCTATGCTCATATGGCTCTTAGAGCCAGGTTTTCAGGAACATATTAAAGGTCCTGATATCTTAATCATTAAGGCCTCACCATAACAAGTCTCAGGCACTGTTAGTCCGGCATCAAGGCATTAAGGGACCAGCATTAGCAAGACACACCATATGGAAGCCACGGGTAGCCAGAGATAGTGCAGATGGGGCTGGCTGCTTTCCACAATACTTACCTTCTTGAGGAGCAACGGTATAATGGTGGATTGACATTGGTGGTGGGTAAATGTAATAAAATGTTTGTGTAGCAGGGCATGATTTCTCGCCTTTACTTCCTGCAAACTTAATGGGAAAGGCTTTATAAATAATTCTGGCTTTGTCAATTTAAAATATGGATTAAAATTTACTATATATGTTTTCAAATTTTAATGTGCTGCCTTTTTTTTTCCCTTTACCAAGCAATTCAATTTTAGTTTTGCAGATACTATTCTTGTTTCTGTAATAATGATGGCTAATGCAAAAGCATTAGTACTGGATGCAAAAGGAAAGAGTGAAAATTATATTGTCAATGTTTTATTAATCTGTACTTGTGAGCAGGACAAGTGGTTTTCTTTGCATCCAGTGCAAACTGTTAGCAGTATTTTTATAATTTGATACCATTATTTCTGGAGTCTAAAGGAATTCTGTGAGACAAAGTTTCATCATTTAGATCTGTGTATATTCAAACAAATGTCAGCAAATTGAGAAGCATATGAAATTTTTGCATTAACAAAAAGAAAACTATTTTAGACATATGCATTTTTAACAGATTCAAACTCAAAAGTGAGACCCCACAACTATCATTCATTACACCTTTGCTGACATCGCGTAACACACGCCAGGCCATAATTTAGAAGCTCAGTCTGCTAAGACTATGCCTGTACATAACTCAGACTAAGGGGCTAAGTTCCCTTAAAGTTAATATGCATATGAATATGTATTTGCAGGTTTGGGGCATTAGTTGACAGTTAGCGACAACTCAGCTGTAGCAAAAATGCAACTAATCAGACAGGGGAAAATAGGAAATTTCCTGTACAACGAGCTATTTCTCTTTGCCTCATTGACCTTATTTTCAGCTGATTTGTTTCAGACTGTGTGATTGATGAGAATGATGCTAAGGCCTGCCTAACCAATGATAGAATAAAGACAATGGAGGATTATTCAATCTACATCTTCTATCAGAAACTAAGCATTTCCCTAAACGGCTTTAAAAAATGTCAGTGCTGAATGTTTAACGTTTTCCTTTATATGTTTTACCATCAGCCAACACACTATTTGATTGTATAATAATATTTATGTAGAGTTTCACTAAGCTGTGCAAACACCAGCAAATGGATTTTGCATCCTTTGCTGCTTTTTAAGTTTTATAAGCCTCTTCCTAATATATACCCATCTCCTGTTTTAAAGATCAAGAAGAGAAATACACCACATCCTAGAGCACTGTACAATTATACAAGCCTCACTACAAGTTTAGGTTGAAAGTATACAGCCATTTACACAAAAGAAGGAGTCTTATTTCTTGAGCCTGTTCATATGGCCCAAGTGACCCTGATATGATGCTGAGAACAATATTACATTCTTTTATTCCTAGAAAAAAAGAGTCCAGCTGTGAAACTCCTTGAAGCAGTGCATTGCACTATATTTGCAATCTACAGAGCAAAGCAAAAAATCTGATGACCACAGACAGTGCTCAGCTCCTGGCTGACCTTCCCCCACGGGGCAGCAGCCTTTGGTGTACCCTGAGAGACCAAGTGCCCAGTGCCCTGTACACTTCATGAAAGGCAGTAATAATTAGGTAATTAACTTTACAAAATTTGAAATATCACCATTGCTAACATGTATGGTTTCATTGGTGCAAAGACATAAAATACCACCAGAGCTGTTATCAAGGCAATAGCCAAACACTGGCACCACTCAATGCAAAACTGTTGCTGTTGTGTTTGGGTGTTAAAACACACTAACTTGGGGCTTTCCTCCCATTGCTGTGACTTCCTATCATCAGAGATGCTAAGAAAATGCTTTTTCTACCCACTCAATATTTATTATTCTTTGCAATGGTTTTTGACTTGAGCTGAAGCAAAACCTCACACATTCAGAGACCACCACAGAATGGCATTTACAAACAATTTTTTTGTTGCAATTTGGTTTTATATGTTCTAAACATATCAACATTTTGGCGGTTTTTCTTTTTAATAGAAAAACTAATTTTAGACTGAAAAGTTGGTTCAGATTAAAATCAAAACTCAGTTCCAAAAATCTGTAATCCTTTGCCCACCAATTTCCTGCATGAATTTTCATTGGCATCAAAGAAATTTTGTAGAGAAAACCCCTCCAATATTTTGTTGAATTTATCACCTGCTCACTGAAAATTACCTGAATTACAATGTTCAGATGAACTCTCTCAATCATCAGTAGTCCTTGTATGTGGTAAAAGGTATCAAATAAAGATTCCTGACACTCTTTGATTTCTTCCATTATGTTTTCCTGTTTCTCCACTTACTTTCACAAAAATAGATGATACCTCTCAGGTGCAGCAATAAACCCCATAGCTCTTGAGCTTTAACTCCAGCATCATGGTTTCCTCCCTGAGATAGGCAACCCCTAGACATGGAGCCCAAACCAGAGCCTGTGTACAAGCAGCTGGACCCTCCCCAAACTTGCCTCCCTTCCAGTGTTGATCCACCCTGGAAACGCTGTCCCACAGACAACAGAACTTCTCAGCAAGAGGCGATGCTGGCTGCAGGAGGCTGAGACTTGGCTTATAAAACTTGCTATGTCAATCAGCAGAGTATTCAAGACTATTCAGCAATGAATGTTTTTTTTTTCCCCCACGCATTTTTTTGTGGGTTTTTTTGGTCACTCATAAGTCTTTCATAAACTGAGACCACCCCTCACCACATAACTTGTGCATCAGACTGCTTCTCCCATGAGTTTGGGAGCACGAAGGAGAAGTGGAATGGGGAGGTTGTTGACAAGACTGTAGCAAGTCTTCAGAGGTACAAAATTAAGCCTGCAAGCACACAGCCTCCTCTTCCCCGTGCCTGGCTGTTGGCCATGTTGTCCCTTGTGCTCTCGGGGGGAGTGAGGGGAGCATGCACAGTTTTCCCATCCTAATCGAGTTACATGCTCTGATGGCCTTGCTGTGGTGAGTGACTATGGCAAAACCCAGGGCATCAGGGAGCCATGGCTGGGGTGTCTATGGGCTTTGACAGGTTTATGTTCAGCACTGAAGTCCTGCTGCAATTAGTGGCCACCTCATTCTTCCATGGAGTTTATCTATCACCCATTGGTACCAGAGCTCCCCATTTCATGCTTCCCAGAGGAAATACTTGTCACATCTTTGTTTGTCAGTGGTTTGTTTTTGTTTGTTTGTTTGTTTTTGTTTGTTTGTTTGTTTTTGTTGTTGTTGTTGTTTGGCTGGGTTTTTTAATGCCATGCTGAAGAAGGCAAAATAAAGCAATGCGTATTATAAAACAGAAAAGCAGACAGTGAATTCTTAAGGTGGTCCTGAATGTCTCTCCTCAAAACACATTTTTTTAGAGAAGTGGGTCTCATGAGCTTTGAAGGTCCCTTGGCAGCACCTGGTGTCATCCTCATTCCCAGAAGTCACCACTGCTCTGACTCAAGTGGACTTAAAAGGTGTCTTCCTGAATGGGACCATACCAGCTCCTCTGAGGATGTTGTGTGATGCTGCAGTTTCCTACTCTCCATGTTTTCCTGTATATGTATTTTCCTATAGACTAGACTAGTTTAGACTAGACTAGAATACTTCAGTTGGAAGGGACCTACAGCAACCATCTAGTCCAACTGAGCTGTCCAAAAGCTAGAAAACATTATTAAAGGCACTTTTCAAATGTCTCTTAAATGCTGACAGTTTTGTGACATCAACCACCTCCCTAGGAAGCCTGTTTCAGACCTGTTCCAGACCACCCTCTTGATAAAGAAGTGTTCCCTAATGACATGTCTGCCTCGTGCAGCTTTGACCCATTCCCAGGCCATCTATCACTGGACCCCAGGGAGAAGAGCTCAGCATTTCCCTCTCTACTTTCCTTCCTCAGGAAGCTGAAGAGAGCAATAAGGTCCCCCCTCATCCTCCTTTTCTGCAAACTAGACAAATCCAAAGTCCTTAGCTGGTACTCATAGGAGCTGTCTCTCTTCTTGGTAGAGTTTGAAAAGGGACCGGGTTTCTGCATCTGCGTTTCTCAGACTCCTGCCACCCCCATGTGACAGTATGGGTGGGATGACCACAGGTGAAGGTCTGGGAATCCAGCTGATACTCTTCTCTAAAATTTGTTTCTATTTGGTTTAAGTTCTCGGATCATTTAGGGATAATTTTTAAGTCCAGCTTGGCTTTTAAGTCATGAGTCCTTTTTGACTTGTGACTTGCATGACATGGTGTTGTAAGAATTACAATAGTAGTATGTTTCATCCACAGTGCCTGGAGTGCTCAAAAGTCCTTCATGTAATTTCTGGAATACTCCCATCATGTGAGACACTAAATGAAATAAAATACTAATAATCACAATAGAATCATAGAGTGGTTTGGGTTGGAAGGGACCTTAAAAATCATCTAGTTCCAACCCCCCCTGCTGTGAACAGGGATACCTACCATTAGACCACATTGCTCAGAGCCCCATCCAACCTGGCCTTGAACACTTGCAGGGATGGAGCATCCACAGCTTCTCTGGGTAACCTGTGCCAGTGGTTCACCACCCTCACAGTAAAGAATTTCTTCCCATGCGATCTAATGATATATTGCTTGGCAACTACATCAGCCAATTCCCTCAGGATTTTGGGATGCATCTGATCAGGTCCCATAGATTTGCATACATTCAGGTTACTCAGGTGGTCACAAACCTGATCTTCTCTTACAGTGTGAGGGACTTTGCTCCCCCAGCCCCCATCCTGCTGTCCATCCGCTCAAGAGGTGTGGGAAAAGAGGTTGCCATTGAAGACTGACACAAAAAAGTTGTTGAGTACCTCAGCCTCCTTCTAATTTGTTGTTACCAGTTTTCCAGCATTGTTTTTCAGGGGGATTGAAACCTCTTTGACCTTCATGGGTAGAGATTAGTAATTTGAATTGATTCAAACACTGTTGCTTATCTGAAAAGAAAGGGTCCTCACAAAATTAACATTAGGGTTGTTTTGATGACACGAAACCTGAAGAGGGTCAAAATCTCATGTTATTAAAACACCATAATTAATACCAGCTCAGAATTAGTTTTGGTTCTGAGACATCTCTGTAATTGCCAAATGAGCTCAAAAATTTTGTATACCTTTTGGTCACTTCACAGAATAAAGCAAAACGGCTGAAAACAGTGATCCTTGTGCTGTAATTCCACTGCCTGGAAACTAAATAAAGAAATCAATAGGCATGCAGAGTG